ACCAAAAAGGGTTCAAAAGCGTTGGTTTAAATAAAATTTTAAAACTAGGTTTGAATTATAAGGGAAAAAAAAAAAAAAAAAAAAAAAAAAAAAAGAATAACGTTCCCAGAACTTAATTCTGGGAACGCTGGAGTTTTATTAAGAATGTGAAAACTGACTAAGTATTTGCAGGTTAGCTTAAAAAAGTGCTTCCACAGAAGGAATACTTAGTGGGTTGACCTAGTTAGGAAAATTACCATAAGAACATTTTACATCTTCAGTCATACACTTCAGATCATGTAGGATTGAAGATGCACATATTCTGAGCATTTTTTCCTCAGTGTGCATGACAAGCATACACCTGAAAATCTGTTTGCTGAGGAAAAACATTTCCACGAATGATGGTAGTCTGACAAATTCATTTCAGTTCTGTTTACCATCTGCTTGCTGATTGTACTGTGGAATTGAACCCAAAGTTGTTTTTTTAGCGATGAACAACTTAAAAGGTTTAATTTCTAAATTTCCTTTCTACAAGAAACCAAATAAAACATTAGAAAACTTGAGATGAAATGCGTTTTCAATATTTAACTGAAGAAATAGTGAGAGCCTTCAATGATTTGATTTTGTTTAGTCATGTCAACCTGCAATGTTTAACAATGAGACAAGATGAAAATGAACAGTATTGACTCACCCAGTTGATGAAAAAGGCTTGGATGAATTTGATAACCTCCAGTGTGACCAGGAGACTTATTGGTATCAGGTTGTTGAAAAGGATAATGAAGGTGAGGAAGTTGAGGCCAAAGTTGGCAGCCCCGCCATCTGTCAGGGGAAATGTTTTGGACAAAAAGCAATGAAACAGGAGAACACTCATCAGTCTTTGCTTGGTAATACGAGTTAGTCAAATCAAAATGCCAAAAGGCTACTTCCAGCTGAGGGTCAACATTCAGCCAATCCACAAAGTGCTTTTGGACCAATGTTGAGCATTAGCTGAAAGTGGCCTTTTCTTCCACCCAACCTCATCATTTTTTTTTCTCAACCGATTAGCAATCCAATTCAAAGTCCCAAAGATTTAAGCCTTGGCATCCAGCATGATCCAGGCAATGAATTCTACAAAGCACTATGCAAGAAACGATACTGGTCCCAGCAAAAAGCCCCCAAACAACTGGTAATGACCAACATGTAACCCCACTGACACGAAATATGAAAACAGGAGGGATGTGATTTACCTTTCCTCAGCTTGCAGGAGATGCAAATGTTACCTTCCTCAACCCAAGCCTTGAGCTTAGCTTTGCGATTGAGAGGGCCAGCCCTTCCCCATGACAGAATGATTTCATAAGCAAAGAAAACTACACAACACAAAGGAAGTGGCACAATGGAAAGCTACAGCTACAACACGAAAACAAGGGAATAATGCTTTGTTTTTTGAAGAAGTGAGGAGGAAGACAGACATTTCAGATGCTCTCAAGACAAAGGAGGGAGATTCAGTCCACAGCACATTCTCAACTGGCAAAAAGTGGAAAAGAGAGGGTGGATTGCATCAGTAGAAGTGTAAGTGTGATCGTCATTTCGGTTACTTCAAGTAGCAGGCTCAGTACGATAGAGAGGAATCTTGGCAATAAGTCGGTATTAGATAAAGTAATACTGGACTGAAAGTTGATAGATCAAACCAGCAATTCAGGACATGCAAAGTCAAAGTTAAAAGATGCAAAAATACTGTTGATTCCTATTTTCTTTCATAGTCATCAGAGTGTGGTTACATTAATCTAATGCAATGGTGAAAGATTTGAAGATTTATGTAAAAGTAGAAAAAGGAAATTGCATTTTCTTATTTCATTATTTTAAGTTTTTGAATATAGTTGGGGTGTCACACATTAAAATAGGGAAACATAAATAAATATTCAAATGATTCAAATCACGTTGAAAGCAAAGCTGGGCCAAATATATTTGTGCACATATCTACTATCCAACAATAGTTTGTCCTTAAAACAGAACTAACCTTTATGCTGAGTAAATGTGAAACTATTTGTCTGAAAGTGTGTGAAACTATGCAGCCGATTTTTAAATTTGCAAGGATTCAACTCGCCCTGTTTAAAAACAGCTTAAAGACCCAGACACTGCAACCAGTGTGTATGGACGCGTTTCCATTGCAGGGACCATTTCTGGGACTCTGTCCGTGTTCTGGGTCAAAATGTTCCTCAAAAATGGCCCTCATAAAGAGGAAGGGTTTTTTGTTTTGTTTTTTTTTAAAGGTGGAGCTTCGTAGTACGACGAGGACAAAGGTCACTCTTTGATTGAACATCTCCAGCAATTTATTTCAGTAATCTAATCCTCTGCCGGTTATATTTTCTGTTAACTTTGAATTTCATAACTGGAGTTGTGTATTTTTGCTTGTGAACAACAATAGCTGCCTATGCTGAAAAATCAATGTTTTACAGAGCTTACGTTAAAGCACGTTGATAAAACCCAGCAGCTTTAGTAGAAATTGCTAAGCTTTTTTCTTTTTTAGAGATTTAATTCATAAAATTAAAATATTTTTCAGTTAATACGTTCCGAGATCCAAATTAAAACGATCAAAACTCCCCAGGATTGTTGGTCTTTCTCATATCTAGAGCTTGAACAGAGCAGACTTGTTGCTGCAGTGTTCCTATGTGTCCATGGTCATTCTTCCTACAAAATCAGCAGTTAATTCGAAATCCAGTCCAACTTCATCATCAAAGCTTGGAGAGGCAGAGTGTGGTTTTACAGTATAACCACTATCAAATGATTAATGCTGATTTCCTAGTTTTTTTTACTGAATACCAGACTGAGCTGTTGCATCTCTGCCCCGCAGAGGCTAAAGGAGTTACTGCTCTGATTCGCATGAAAGGCCCAGGTTCCAGTCCCATCAGCTAAAACACACACAAAAAGAAACATAGGTAGTTTAAAAGTTTCACTAAGTAAACTTTTAGGAAGCTGTAGTGGAAACGTGATTTGAGACGTGAGGTAAAGTTCTTGTTGGAAAGCATAGTTTTTTAGCTGTTAGATAGAAAACAAACAATTGCAGCAATTTTAAGTAGTAAAATTTGTAATTGTATTTTTTTTTATTTTATTATTTTCTATTACACTTGCAACTTTAAATTATAATAAATTGAATAAGATTTTTATTATTTTTTTTTATTTTAGGGATCAAGATCTATTGATTGTATAAATTTTCTTTTGATAAATTACACCATCTTCCATGTTAACCACCCAAAGTAGAAAGAAAGGTTATGCATATTTATACTGGGAAGCTGCATCAGTTGTCACAATGCACTAACCCAATCAAATGCAATCACCAGTGTCAGCACTTTTGAACATCTCAAAGTCAAATTTAGCCATTTATTCAACCAGAATGCATAAGCTGGGGTTAGAGTCAGCACTACAGTGACTATTTTTGTCCGCATTTATGAGAGCGATGTTGATTAACTGATGGATTTATATAAAAAGTGTCAACACAATAAATGACAATCTCTGCACCTCTCTTTTATCACAGGTTGGATAATATGCACTGGACAGAGCCTCAACAGCTCCTTATGGAAGTAAAAGTATTTCAACATGGATACTTGCTTTACAACTCACACTTCCTTGACCTCTGACATACGTTCCTTTAGATGAAGGTTTTAATGTTGGTGGGGACAGTGTTAAAACCTTTTTTTTTGAGCCGACAGAAACTAAACTAACTTTATGTAGGAATAAAAGGGGACCATGTAAGTTGTAATGCAAGCTTGAATTGGCCAGAGGAACAACCTGTCCTAAAAAGGCCCATCAAGGTAGAGAGAAATGGCAGAAGTCACGATAAGCACTTTGCATACCAGGTTCAGAGCTTCATCGAGACAGACCAACAACTCATTAAAAAAAAAAAAGAAAAAACACATACAAGTACATACAGAGCTCTGCAAAAGTATTCATAACCATTGAGCATTTTAATAGTTGGTAACATAACAACCACAAACTTCACTGTGTTGTACTGAAACAAAAATAAAGCCGCATATTGATGAACTATCAATATGGGTAAAAATGTCGTGCCACTATATTTAAATTAGTTGTTTTTTTTTTCAGTACAGATTTGTAGAATGCAAGAACAATAGTTGTCCTGGGGAGAGACACTTCCACCTGAGCTTTCGATCTCCACAGCTCATCCAGGGTAATCTGGCGTCACTTGACTGCTTCTCTTCAAGTTTTCCCATCATTCACCTTTTCAGGTTAATTTTAGCTTTCAAGGAAGTTTACTCTATCTTAAAATAACTACATCAAATCAAATAATATTGAGATATATGTTGAACCATTTTTTTTGTATATATAACTGAGCAGTTAAAATTAATACATATATTTGTAAGCCATGTCTGATATCCCTTCTTCAAAACTGCACATATAATAGACCTGGGCCATTAACTGAAAATGAACCAACACCAAAATATGTAACAATGACCAACATCATTTAGCCCATTTTTGTATTTAAAAAAGATGAAAAGGACTTTTTTGTCTTTTTTGGCAGATTATGCTCTTGTCCCTTTAAGATGTTGAGCTACATGTAGAGTCTGATATGATTTTAGGCAAAATCTGCCAACCCTAACAAATAATATCTTAATAAATGGAAGATTGAGGTTGTAATGTGACAAAAAATGGGAAAGTTCAAGGAGTGTGGATACTTCTGCAGTGCACTGAACTCAGCTGCCTTCCACCAACCATCCTTCCTCTTTTATCCGTCTTGGAAAAACTCCAATGCGAGTGAGAGGGCGGCAGAGGCATTTAGAAAATGTCAGCTCTTGCCCCTTGGGTTGCAACACATTATGTTCTAGCTGCAAACACATACGCTTCCTGCCATGAAAAAAAAAAAAAAAAAACACACACAAAAAAACGGGCACAATCTCATCTGCCTTTCTCTTCTTGCAGGAAAAATTAGAGAGTAAAAGAAAAAAAAAGGTCTGAAGCTGGAAACTGCAAAGAGTTTAACGTGACAAATCAAAAAACAAGGAAGAGAAGTGAAACAGTTTGCATCAGGCACTGAAAATAACTGGAAGAAGGTATAAGAGAGCTGGAGGGGAGAAACCTATTGTTGGATCCCTGGTCTGTGCTTGTCCATGGCATGGGCCCATACAAAGTGGGACAACGATATAGGGGGCGAGGGTAGGGGGCTTCATTTGCTTAGCAAAGGCAGAGCTTCAGTAAGGGGTTAGTAAGGGAGGGTCATTCACGGATGGCCAAGGCTTTTAAATGGTTGTTACCTGGAGCTGTTAAAAAACGACAACAAAGAAAACAAAAATCAAACAGAACATTAGAAAAGAACGAAAAAGTACAGCAGCGCAGTGATATTCAACCATTTCTGTTTCAATGACATTCATCCACATCACAAACAATGTTTTTGACTGTACTTATTCCCACATTGCCACATATTTCACTTGTTGTACAAAATGTAAATTAACTAAAGCAACAGAAAAACACAACGCGTACTAGCTGTTAAGGAACTCAAAATGGCAAAAGGAAAAAAAGCCGATATGAACAAGTGAGACAAAATATGTGGAAATAAGAGGCGCAGCCGCGGCTGCCCGGATTCTTACAGTTGAGATCCATGTACCAGGCGTCGTCGCCGTACTGGTACTTCCAGATGGTTTGGCCGATGGAGCAGATGAGGGAGATGGCCAGGAGGCAGCCGAAAAGCACGAGGATCTGAAAGTTGGTTATCCGCTCCACATTGGACAGCTTCAGAGGAGGCCGGGTGGAATTCTGACCAACATTTGAGCAGATGGGAAACAAACAAACAAAAAAAATTAATAAAATAATAATAATAATAAAACTGCGGTGTCCCTTCACTACCAAGTGGGAGTAAGAACATTTGGTATATGGGTGTCTTTGTTGCAAAATATCTTCAGAAAATCAAATGCATTGAAGCTAAAACAGTAGTGGCTACTTCAATCCTTTTAACCCTTAAACAGCTACCATATCTTCTACAAATGCATCAATGCACAAGAATATTTCTCTACGGAACAAATGTTGGTCCAAACGAGAAATTCCAAAAAACGATTTTACCTGCATGAGTTTGGTGTCGTGTCCCGTATAGACAACCACTCCATGGATCCACTGTGTGTTCCTCAGCTGGGCTCCTCTCAGTAAGATCTGGTCTGGACCCAGAGGAACGGTGCTGAAGTACAAAGCACCACAACTGTTAGGGTTTTCAAACTTCACCTCCGTTTCCCTCAGAAATCATTCCCCAAACTGATAAAAAAAAAAAGAAATTAGGGCTGAAACAAATAATCGCAAATATTTGTGTCTGCAGGGACCAGTTGCTAATTCTCCCCTCACTTTAAACTTCACATAAACTTAATTTAAATGAATGTGTAATTCATTTAAATTTATGCAGATTTTTTCTCTCCACTTTGATTTTGTCATTGTGTGAGAGCCTGCAGTTAGTTAGAAAGTCAGAATCGGTCGATTCTAACTTTCCTCTCTGATCATGGCAGAGGTGGCTACAGCTGAAAAATCACCAATGTCTTTAAATTATACAAGTGACACCTTTGACAGATGTAGCAGTTTATTAAAGAGAAACACCAGTTTCGAGGGTGGCCACTATTAAAAACTTAATACCTACAGAGAAGCGTTTTATAAAAGTGCAGATTCATTATGTGTTTGACAAACAAAAGCATTGAAGTCTGTGAATTTAACAAAGTTTATTGAGAACTTCCCCTTATTAAAATACAATTTATATGATCAAAGAGAGCAGGAGAAAATTAATCAGACATAAATAAGCTGGCAAAGGCCCTACGATAATAAAGTTATATTTTGGGCAAAAGTGATTTCCTCTCCGCCCCCCTCCTCAAAATCACCTTTACCAAAAATGAACAGCGTGAATGCTGTTAAGAACATAATTTTATTTTGAAAGCAATACTAAAAAGGGTTAGCAATGTTTACTAATACGCGTTTTTACTGCAGACATTTGAAATAATTCCATCACGTCCTAAAAAGACTAAAGAGCTTCAATTTAAAAACATCCAAAAGAAAGTAATATGACTGCAGCTGGAAATTTGTATTTATTCCCCCACACCATAAAAGGCAAGACTTTCTGACAAATGAGCTCCTGAGATGGAAAGTGAGGCAGATAATCTGATATGCAGGGCTGAAACTGAGCTCACCTGTGTCCAACCAGGCGGATGTTTCCAACAAACTCATACAGGTGCCGGTTTGGGCTTTCACATTCCATCCGCCCCGACAGCCGCATCAGGTTGTCAATGTCCTTTATGTCTGCAGTCACTTGGAGACCCTGTAGTTGTGACCAAAACACAACTTTACTTCCTTCTATGCTGTAAACCTATGTGCTGCAACTAAAAACAAATAAAAAAATAGAGACTATACACCAACCTGTCTGATTTTAAGGTTTGTTTCTCCATCCAGATTAGATGTTTCAATGTAGCACATACCCTGTGGTTCACTGTTATGGAAGAAGAGGATACAGAATCTTGGAGCAGAAAAGTAACAGCAATTTGTATTCAGTGAGGTTCTGTATCAGTGTGACTTAAACGTTGATTTGCTTAGAATGTTTCCATATCAAACCGTTAACAGGAAATCAATGAGTAAAAAGCTACAGTAACAGATTAAGAGGCTACAGCAGAGAAACAGCAAGACTAAAGCGCAACAAACAAAGATGTTGAAGCCAGCAAAAACCGCCACCAATGTTTGACTGATGCTGTCTATTTAATATACAGCAAACATCTAGAGGCCAGACAACATTTTTGTTTGGGGCTGCTGTTTCCCCATGAGTTAAACTGTCTTTCCAGAGCAGCAAGAATAAAGTCCAAAAGGAACACAGAGAGGAAACATCAGAGCAGGGTGACAGGAGCAAGCAGGCATACAAAGCACAACAAACAATGCAGACAAATGGGTCTCAGACAGACTCTTGGCAAAGCGACAGCGGGTTAGCGCACGCCTGAGGTTAAATGTCGAGTTGGGTCGCTGGTTAGCAGCCCTGCTAACAGATTAACCTTCTCACACAAAAGACTTGATTTGATAAAAATGAGCAGGAGGATGTTCCAGCGATGACAAAGTGAATTAAAACTGAAGTGAAAAAGCACGAATGCGTTGCAGTAAATTAGCACAACAGAAATCCAAGATGGCTTCCAGATTTCATCTTGAAATGTGACTGCATGCAAGCTGTTCAAATAAAGCTGATACATTCAGGCTGCAATGCAATGCAAGCCATGCAAGGACATGAATACGAAAAATACATATTCACACCCAAAAGAGAGCATGATATAGAGGGAGTCTCTTTTTGAGCACTTGGTAGTGTTAGGTTTAAAGGACATTTCAATATCATAGTAAAAGAGTAAACAGTTAGTGATTTTTTTAAGTAAAATCACAATTTGAAAGTTTTTGAAAGATTTTTTTTGTACAGTGCCTTTTAAAAGTATTCAAACCACATTTTATCAAGTTACAACCACAACACAAACACCAAGTAGAGCATTATTGTACACCATTTAACAAATAAAGTGTGGAGTGAACTTGCATTTGCCCTCGATGAAGGCAGCTAAAGTTACAAATGTTGGGTTGTTTCACATTATTTTTCCATGAAAAATAGCCGGAGCTCAGTCAAATTGGATGGAGAGCTTCTCTAAAACGCTTTTCACACACTTTCAAAAATGTTCAGTTGCCTTTAGGTCTGGCTGTATCTGCTTTCTCCTAACTAAAGAACATGCTTTGATGCAAACTATTCCACTGTAGCTCTGGCTGAATATCTGCCCTCCAGGATCGTGACCCTCTGCCAATTTCAATTCACCAGCAGACTCTGATAAGTTTTCTTCCAGACATCAACAGAACTTGATTTTTTTTTTTTTTTTTTTTTTTAGCTGCAGATGCATTTTTTGCTACAAGGAATTAAATGTACACTACAGGTATGCTTCTATTGCGTTTTAGGCAATACAATATTTTTTTTTATTTAAAAAAGGAATTTAATTATGTTTATTCACAATTTTTTGTATTTTGAATATTGCATAAAAGTTCAAGTGATCAAATTAAAAACCTGCAGAATGTGTTAAATTATTGGAGTTATACTGAGATTAAATTACACACAGGTGGAAAACTGTATTTATTAGATGACTCCAGAAGGTTCTTCAATTTTGCACTAGATTATAATTGGGAGTATTGGCACTAAACACAAATGCACACCACATATTTCAGATTTTTATTTCCTTCCACAGTTTTGCACTTCTTTGCGTTTGTTTGTGATATAAAATCTCAAATTATATTCGAGGTTTATGGTTGTGATGTAGCAAAATGTGGTATGGAAGACTTTACAAAGGCAGTGCAATCAACTTAACTAACAAGTTTTCGGTGACGGGGAAAAAAAAAAGTCACAGGCCCCTTCCTTCCTGCAGAGTGGAAATAAAGTCTGATCCCAGTTGTAACAAAGCCCCACCCCCATCTCTCCCACCGCTGTTTGAGTTGGTTATATGTTGCTGGTTTGCTGACCTGGACGACAGAATGACGAGGTCAGCCGGGAGATGATCTCCATTTGCAGCTCTGACTACTTCCCCAACAGCCACCTGATATTACCAACCACACACCAGCAGGGGGCGAGACGGAGGCAGTGTGGCAGTAATTTGCACAGGAGGCCAGAAAGGATGAAGGAGAGGATAAAAAAAAAAGAGGAAGGATGGGAGAAGAAAAGAAAACATTGAAGGGGAGAGAGACAACTGGTTCAGTTTTATGGAAGAGCACGATGATCAGTCCTGTGTGATCACAGGTATGCTTCTCCATGTGTTCTCCTTTTCACAAAACCATCTAGAAAAAAAAAATGCTGAACAGTGAAACTGCTTCACCAGAGCAGGATTTTAGCTTTATATATTACAGAGGAGTCAAATTATGCTTTTAAAAGTCAAATCTAGATCAAATCCAAACAGTTTCCGAAGAGGAGAAGGAGATCAATAGGCTTATGAAGACATGATTGCTCAAATCTAGTTCAAAAATCACATTACTTACAACCCACCAAAGAAAATGATGGTCATTATCTCACACAAAAGTTTATGTATTTCTAATTGTGCATCAGATTAATCGTTGAAAATCTTGACTCAAAGGGTTAATAAACCATCACTTCTTTAACGTGAGCTGAGAGTGTCAGGAGAAAAAGGGCAACGGGAAAAGAGATTCCTAAAAAAAAAAAAAAAAAATTCTTGCATCGGGGCTGATTCCTATACCTGGATGATAAAATGACAGCATCCGCAGGAACGAAATCACTGCCATTTACTTTAATAATATCACCCACTTCAACCTGTGAAAAATAAACTGGTTACTGCTGCGTGCTGCCTATAAAACAGCACAGAAAACGTAAAATCAGCAATGGGAATAAAAATTCACAGCTGGGATGATAAAAAAAAAACAGGGAGAACATTAAACCACAGAAACATGTAATAGTAATGAGAAGACACTGATGGAGCAGCTGAAGTCGTTTTCCATTACCACTGAACCCTGCACACAGTTCATCAGGCAGTAACTAAAACAGAAACATTTATATAGTTTCTAATTAGCATTTTTACTGTAAGAAATCAGGATATGACAAGTATCTGCATGGGAACATGAGCTGAAGTAGGCAGCATTCATACAATTCTGTTCTTTCCTGATGAAAAAAAAAAACAAGGAATTATACAAATGCATTACATACAATTCTCTCCTGCACATAAAAATGACAAGAAGTGACAGGAACTTAAAATTAAAAAAAAAAATACAAGTTTGCCACTTTGGCTTCATTCAAGATGCTCTAAAGAAGAACAAACACCACAGGACAAAAATTTGGAACAGAGCATGCTTTTGTAAAATGCATGCTGAAGAGGAAAAACTCATCAATTATTTAAACTTTGGCTTTTTAGAGAATCCCAAGTCTATAACGGGATGAGACATTAGCATGGAACCAAAGGAAAGGGGCACAGATTTCCATCCAACAGGAACTAAATTTACAGCACACATGATCAACTCTACTTCCTGTAAACTTTGCACCAACTCCTACTTTGGGAAGGTTTATTTGCAATAATTTCAGCCTAATCTCAAATTGCATCGGTAGAGCTGAAGGAGGAAAAAAACAAGCCATGAACTGCTTACCATGGTTTCAAAATTAGTTCAAATGTGCTTTTAGACTATTCTTTTGTGGCATAGAGCTTAGATTGTGTTGATCCTCCCCCCTCTCTCAGTTGTTGCTGCACAGACTTTTTCAGACTGCATTTGAACCCTGAGACAACCTGGGAGCCCTCAATACAAGATGGCAGTCTCTTTACAGGTGTTATGCACATCTTTCTGCCCTTCACACAAATCTGCATACACGAGTTTCACTGCAGAGTAACAATGAGAAAGACTGCAGCATGATTACATTGAGTCTGCTGATGCTTCAGAAGAAATCCACAAATACATCATGAAATAAATCACAGCGGTATTGTCTGAAAAATGTTCAAAAACATGAGCCAAAACGTTCTTACTAAAAGCTGAGCAAAGTCGCCAAGCGGTTCTGTTTTACCTAAAGACACTCTGCCTACAGCTGGCCTGATTTTGCAACAGAAATTAAAGAACTGGATCATAAGGGGAAACCTCCACTTTGTCCTCTGGTCTCACTTTCCAAAGGCCACCCCCATATGGGCATGCTGTATAATTATTTTAGAAGGCATACTAAAGGGAATCGGAGTATAAAGGTGTCTCAACTCCTATTAGTGAAATGAGAAACGGTGACAAACTGTGGGCACATACCTTCTCCCAGTGCACAATCTCCCAGGCCCCGTTCCTTAAGACTGCGGTGATTCATGAGTTACGGTGAGGAAGTTGGAGCCAAAGACAAAAGTGGAAGTCAGAACAGGAATAAAATAGAGAAAAAGAGAATTGTTTGTAGAAAACAATACTGACACGGATGTTCTGCATACATGTAGCAAAAACAAATTCTATGGTTTTCAACAAAGCAGGAGAGTGTTTTCAGTACCTTGACATTCCTTTTTGTTGACAACATTGTCAGCTTTGTGGCGTTTCTGTAAAGAACAAACATTTACCTTGAGCACGCTTCATGTTGAGACAAAAAAATAAATGCGATTACAAAAACTGCATTCCAAATATGTTATTTTATTAAATAAATAACACATCTTCCAGTGTAAGAAGTTACTTTTTACACTGAGAGACAGAGCTGCAGATACATAAATTAGCATCATAGAGCTGAAGTGAGATTTAGACCACCACCGACAATCCAGAGTGATTTTCCCACCGAGCCTGTGTAACCTTTTCAACAGCCACATCATTCAGCATTTTATCCACCAGCATAGTGGTGGATAAAACCACTGCAGCGTTTTTCTCCTTTGTGGTCCCAATAGGGGTTCTAAATCTACAGCTTAACTTTCCTCAGTTATCCCTGCAGGGTCACCTGACAGATGGAGAAAAGTCAGGAGGGATTAAAGAGTTGATCTAAAAACTGTAGCATAATGGGTTTAACAGAAGCATTTGCATCTCAGTCGTGTTACGCTTTATGTAAAAAGAATGGATTGATTTTTCAATTTATTAAGGAGAATTTAAACATTTGCTCATTACCATGTGATTTGCTTTCTACTATGTGGTGTATTTCAGTTGTCCTGCCAACAAATTCTCCCCACCTGAGCAATATGAATCTCTGCAGCTCCTTCAGAGGCTGATTTACGTTTTTATCTCCGTCACTGTCAAGTCGAGGTGGACAGTTATGTTTTGGTAGGTAGTGAAGGTGAAGTTTATGGCAGTTGCATAAAATGTGAAAAAGTTGAAGGGGTTTGAACAGATCTGCGTGACCAGGACAAAGAGCAACACTTCTTCCCCTTGTGCCCCGCTTGTTTGCTCAACAATCACACAATCAGCTGTGATTTCTGCAGCTGATTCCAAGGGACAGCTTGTCAACCAGCATCACGCTGAGTAATAACGAGTTGCTGCACCCATCTCATTAAAATGATTACTGTGCATTAAAACTGAGCTCCTGAGAGCAACGTGTGCTCTAGTTGATTAACAAGGAGAGGACACATCCACCTACATCTCCGCTAACTACCTGTTTACAAGAAAAGAGACCTGCACCAAGGTAATCCAATTTAATCTGCAACAAATTCAGCCCCTCAAGACTGTCACTCAAAACATTTTATTAAACAGCCGCCATGAGAGCAGCGTGCGCCAATACGGGCTGTTTACCTTTTAGATGACGGGCATAATTTATCAAATCAGCAAGAAACACTTAGGAAGAAAGGACCGACTCTCTAGAGGTTTCACCAACTCAAATTTAAGGTTTTTAAAAGACCTTTTTAAGATCATTATGAATTAAATTAAGGTTTATATTATGACAGAACTGTACAAAAGAAAATTACACATTTCATAGAGCAGCAGTGCCAAGATTTTTTGCACAAATGCCCTTAACGCCATATGGGTTGGAAACTTAAGTGAGCCAGTGGCTACGGTGGCGTCCAGCCACTAATGATAGATTTACACTTTCCCATCATAGACAAAAAAAGTTAGCTAGCTAGCAAAGGTAAATTTGCAGCTAGTTAGCGGTAGCCTCAATTGCCTCAAGTCACAGACTTGAGGCAATTCAAATGTTTGTTGGCAGAAAAATCAAGCAATAGAATATGAAAGAAATAAAATTTAAGACCTGTGATTAACTTCTTTAAGGCCGACTAACATTTTAAATAAATTTAGGAAATTCTGAGGTTTTAATTTTAGAATTTAAGACTTAAGGATGCACAGAAACCTACCAGGAAGATATACGGAGAGAAGGAAGAATGAAGACACAAGGCAGGACAAAAAGAGGGAAAATGGGATACAAGGCTAGAAAAAGAAAGGATGGAAGGAAAAAAAGGGAACGATGGAACACCACAAAAAAGTAAAAATGAATGACACAAGGGAGAAAAACCAGGGACACAAGGAAGGACCGAAAGAAGGAATGGATGCATGACAAAGTATGAGCGAGGAAGACGAGGAGGACACAAACAAGGAAGGAAATAAGGACACAGAATTTAGATGATGGTACAGGGAAAAAAGTCTGAGGATGCAAATATTTTCCCATACTCCTCTTTTCTGTGCTGATAATAGCATATTAAAATCAACTTCCAGACAGCATAGGAATCCTGAACTATAGCAGGTGAATGACAGTGACATCTCCAGGTACTAAACTCTTCTTCTCTGTGACAACCTGTCTTACCTTCCACACTCAGCTGGCTAAATGAAATTATATTTAATATCCCTGCATCATGCTGTACTTTTTAATGAATGGACCTGTCTGCGGTGCATGACTTCAGTCTTTTTCTGGCTACACTGTTCCCAGAAAAAGTTTGCTTCTCCGAAGCCCATTCATCATGCCCTGTACTCGAGCTGTCAGCCCGTTTTCATTCATCCACACTATTAGGTGTGGCGCCACAGATGGACTTGCGCCTATTTTGAGGCAAGACGTGGTAGGAGAGCAGAAATACGTTTAAAGGAGCACCTACATAGGTTTGGCTGCTTTTCACTTGTCCTCATATTCACTGCTTTGGTCTCTAGGCACAGAGAAAATGAGACACACTGTATTTAAATAATGTGTGTAAGCTCACAGTGCAGCAAAAGGTGAGCCAAGTGTGGAGGTTATGCACAAGTCCTCCATCATCAGGCCTCTACAGACTTCCAACAGTCAAAAAATACGCAAAGATGAAAGCAGCATTTGCCGTGTGTTTGTTTTAGTCTTCATTTCCAGGTCACGCATGGCAATAAAATGCAACCGATGCTGTTAAAATGAAGCTACTACAAAGTCACATTATTATGTTCCCATTTGGAGACATTTAAATCTGAATGATGGCAGAACTGCTCTGAACAAACAGCCTGAGGCTGTTGCAGAAGAGTCAGCCAGCAACAAAGTAAGGCGTGTGCTGTACAGTGTGTGCATGATTCATGAAGTTAGGGGTCGATGCTGGCCTGTCAGGTCAACTCGTGAGGGACAGCGCTGTACAGAGAACAGACGTGTGTGCAGGTGACCTTCAGCGATAAAGATGGAGTCATCATCCACTCTGTTCCCATGTTTTCCACAACAGGCCAGGAGACAAAAACTGCTGCGCTGGTCCCTTCAGCACGCGATAGACGCTACAGTGTAGTATAGAGTAACTGCCCACCGGGACCTGCGCGAGGGATCGCATTGCAGTGTCACTGCAATACAGTGGAATGCAACATTCTCTCACTTTCGCCAAGATGGGCTTGAGTGGATTACACACCAACTGCAGAATGTTTGACTCTATTTTTAGTTTGACTTTAACATTATTAACCCACCCAAAGTACAAAATGACTAACACCACACCCAACAATTATCTGCTGCTCACCCGGGATTGGGTCAGGGGGCTTGAAGTCCAATAACCTTCTTTGTTCCCAGCTGGGTTTAGTTTAGTTTTATTCAAAAGATTAACAATCAAACAAACAACCAAACTCACATCAATCTAAAGCATCGTCAAGCATCTGTTCAACAGCTCAGGGCAGTCTCTTTGTTTTATTTTGTACAAACTGTCTTTGTGTGTGAGCACTGAGTATCTAGGTTAATTGAATAAATGTGTTTTTGGGTCCAGTTGGCACAGCTGGGGCCCCAGAAATGAGTGTGCATGTTTTGTGTGTGTGTGTGTTTGATGGCGCGGCTGTGTGTGTGGTGTGGTCATATCCACTATAACCTGCTTTCTGCCAACAGGCCACAGTTCACTGCTCATGATACACAGAGCTGTGGAAAAGTATTTTCCCTCCTTGCAGACTTCTTCTGCTTTTGCTTTTTTTTTAATCAAACATATTTGTTTCATATCAACTAATTTTAATAAAGTAGAAGACTGGAACACACCTACCGAATTGTGTTTATGAAAAGGGACACATGGCCTAAGATTAAACTGTAAAAAAGACTGAAGAAGCTAAAGCCCCATTCTGACTGATGTATGTCTTACCAGATCTTCAATTATTTCCTTGACCGCAGCGACCACCAGAATAAAGATCAGCGGCACCAGGGTGGTCCAGCGACCAGTGGGGGACACATCTGGGATTTGCTAAATAAAACACAATGTCACAATATTAGGTTGGATTTTAGTGATTGTCTTTTCTGAAGCTTTTAGCCTTCAAAAAACAGAATTGTATTTTGATGTGGGATCATAAATTCCCACCAGTAAAGTTGCTGTATTTTACAACTGACGCAACAGAGAATGTTTTAATGCTTCCTTTCTCGTCCCAACAGCTTCTCTTGGTTAAACTAAAAACTTACATCGCTAAACGCCATCCTTCATCTGATAAACAGTATGCACAAGAAAGAAACATTTAAAAGGACATTTTCATCAGGTCTTATAAATGTTGTGTCCATCGATTAGAAAAACAGATTTCCAAGTTTCTTAGAGGTCTGACAAGTGATTGCTTTTCTTCAGAAGGATTACCACGCAATACAAAAAGTGATACAGGTCCTTTGATAGATGAAGTAGTTTAATCCAGTACATGAAGGAATTAAAGACAAACCTGGACCAAAACACATCGACATTCAGTATGTTAGATTTAAAAAAAAAGAAACACTGTCTGTTTTACCTTCACATGGTGTAAATTTTGTAATTCTGTAAAAACATTTCATGTTAAGCACCTTTTGTTATCCAGTTACTACTTAGTCAAAAAGTACTCAGCAAGTAGTCCTACACTGCACTGATATAGCAAATTGATTAGAAAAGTATTTTTTTAGCTACAGATGCATCTTTTGTTAAAATGGTCAAGCGTACACTGAAGGAATCCTATGTTATTCCATTATAGGCAAAAATGTGTTTTTCCATTTCATTTGTAATTAATGTATTAAACCTGTTAATGTATTTCTAATATTGTGTAAAATAGTCTTAAATTAAATAAAAGTGGTAGAAAGTGTTTTTTTTTTTATCTGATTAATCATTAGAATAATCACTTGATTAATCCATTATTAAAATAATTGTTAGTTGCAGCCCCGATGCTGGGCCTTAACATGTAAACAACAGCAAACCCACAGTGATAAATCAGTATTATACCGCTGGAAAGAAACTTGGAAATTGATTTCACGTTTCGTTCATCTGCATGGCTGTTTTATTCAAGGTCGAAGTATCGACACGGCGGGAAACGAGGATTCACACTGGCTGCGTTTCAAAAGGACACTGGATGGAGTTGTTTCCTAACCGCACAGCTTTCTCTAAGTGGGACAGTCTGTCAGCTCAAATATAAAGACAGAAACTCAAGTTTGTGTGCCGTTCCCTTCTCCGTTTTCTGCCGTTTGCTGGTAAGCTCCAAACACCTGAAATTCAAATTGCAGCAGTCTCTGCACTGCAGTGTAGTACCTTAAAGCAGCTACCTGTACATATTTCATGTCATTTGATGCATGTTGAGTTAGTAGGTGTAGAATTGTGTGTGTTTTTTATCAAGTTATATAAAATACTGTGAGTACGTGTGTGGTTGTGTGTAGATATGAAATTACAGACATGACCTTCCAGGAAGTGGTGTCTAGGTCAACGGATTGAGATGTTGGGGGGGAAAAAAAGTAATTAACCAAATAGCTAAAATGTTATCTCAGTACTGACAAATGTAGCCGTTTTATTTATATTTTTGCATCACAGAAATACAAAACTACAAAATCTTACCTGCAGGAGTGCAATGAAGAGAAAGAAGGCGTTGGCTGCCCTCCTGAACTGCGAGTAGAGGAACCGAGGGAGAAAGGTGAGAACATTATATTTGGCCGTGCTGAAGAGCCGAGTCAGGCAGGACGCAACGAGGTGATGGTGGGGCACAAGATGAGACAAGAAAGGGAGAAAACAAAATAGGTTAGCTTGCAAAGTGTAATCTAAAGTGGCAACACTGCTGAAACAAGAGTCATTCAGACGAGTCTTTAATTTTAGCATTCTGTACAACTAACTCTCCAGAGTTAGTTTTACAGAAACATATATACTTGTGTCATACAATGACAAACTGCAAACACTGGTGCACTAATAATAAAGAATAATGAGAGGCTAGGAGGTGGCAGAGAGGACATAAAGGCATCCTGGCAGAGATGAGCGATGTTGCATGTGCTGCTGTGGGGTTGGTCATCATGGTGGAATATTGAAACTAGAGGAGCTTTCAGCACTCCCACAGCCGAGCCTCCAGCAGGCTGATTTACGGCCGAGTTAAAGGGGGCAGTCAGAGGAGCCACTTTAGGAGAAGATGTATATACTGCTGCAAGCCAAGCCAGTAGCAATGCTTTGCATACCCCTGCAGACAAACAAATACAAACCAAGTGTAGTGCCTCTAACTCGCAAAGGTGACCAAAAGAATGCAGTTCAACAACAATGATATAGCCATTTTAAACCTACCAGAAATACAATATATATATATTTTTACAAATAAAAATATGGAATCTGTGGCACATATTTGTGTTCCTTTGAGTCAATACTTGACAGAAACAACTTTCACTGCAACTGTAACTTTTTGGAGTATGTGTGTTAACTTAGCACACCGGAGGCTGCAAAGTTTGCCTTATCACAGGTTCTCATTTGAATTTAGGACTGGATTTGACTAGATGGTTCAAACACATGAATATTCTTTGATTAATATAATTATGTTGTAACTCTGGTTCTTTAACACATGTATTCTTTACTTTAAACTTAATGATGCACAACTATTTGTGCAACTCTAGCACCTGAAGTCCTAATAAAATATACTGATGTTTGTGGTTGTTTTAATAAAGCAAAAAAAATAAAAAATAAAAAATAAATAAATAAAAAAACAATCACATGACATACAAATATCTATGTAGTTTCTTTTTGTAAATCTGACAAGTTTTACTGAACAAAATTGAGAACGTATATGCAAATGACCCCTGATCTAAAACCTTACATGTTCTTAGACAGATATAACTGTTGCTTTGTAGCAGTCACATGAGTCATGATCATAAGAGGAAGCTCAGCATTATCAAAGTGATCAGAGTGATCAAGCAAACCAACAGGCGAAGTGAGACATGCAAATAAGTGGAAGTTTCTTTGTGAGAGTAACTTTTACACACAAGTACGGTAGTTGATGCTATGATCAGATCAGAGTTTTATTCGATCTTTAGCCTAAACCCACATGAGATCCCAGTGGGAACTAAAAGCACACAACAGTGGCTAGAAAGTTTTGATGCCAAAAAAACAAGTGGACCCATTGTTTTCATTCACTATAATTGTTGTGCTTAAAAAAGCATCTATGACTGCCTTCTTACACATTGACCTCTATATTAGAGTAATAAACTGAAGAGGGTAGTTTCAATAGCCTACTAGTTGAAATAAAAGTATAGCCGCAGTGACAAATAAAATACACATATATATTTTCCAGAACATAACAACTAGCACACACATTGCTTAGCTAGCACTGTTCTGCTAACAAAACAAAAAACTGAAGAGTCATAATTGTTATGATTAGCAGTGACAGCACACTATGCTGTTTACAGCAATGTTAAGCTGTTGGCGGTGACAAAGGTTAAATAACCTTTGCCGTTAAATAGATTAAAAAGCAAAACTCAAGACATATACTTGTGTACTTCCTTTAAAAGGCATTACTCACCTGCTTCCATAATCATCTATTATTTGAGAGTCTTCATTTTGCAACACAGTGTTGGAATTATACCAGTATTGGGAGTGAACGTTCAAGCCTGACCTAAGCAGGTCATGTACCTGGGAGGCTTACGTGCAAGAATGTTATTGGAAAGCTTCCCACAGGTCAGGGAAGCTTTCCAATAAATTCTTTGAAACAAATTAGAGTTTAATGATGCTATTTACCAAACGGCCATTTTCAGGCCGTTTGGTAAATAGCAACCTGTCCTTCAGTAAGTGTCTCTTTAGTAACAAAAAATTTGCATTTCAATGTTGGAAACATGTGGCAAGTTAGTATGAATTGCAAACTGCTACAGCAAAAGCCAAAATTAGTCATGTAGACATGATGTAGAGTAGCATAAAAATGCTGATTAATAGATTTTCAATCAATACAATGCTATTTTTGTAATTAATGAATTCCTAAAAATTGTGCAGGCCCAGTTAAAGGCATACATTTTAGCACATATGTGACCACAAAGCAACATTTCATTTAATTTCATTGCCTTCCACCTGACAGGTTATTCAATCACTGCACATTTATATAACTTATGTGATAAAAAACAAACATGTGTCACACTATTATTTACAATGGTATTCATGAGTGAAATGCATTATAGGACATACGATGTGTACAGTCGCAAAATTACCAAGACTGGTGATACCATACCTACATAAGCATAATTTATCCTTACACGGTACAGCCCCATCGCATATACAACATTCAACATTAAGCTTTGTTTGTCATTAACCTGACAGTAATGTCTTTGATATGGTGACATGGAGCTTAGCTTTATACAAAGCTCACATGAATGCTTATAAAATCAGTGAAATGCATTGCTGATTTGCTTTGGAAAGTCATGAGGATTAAAAAAAAAAAAAATTCCACTTTGGCTGGCTATTTAGTGCTTTGTGTGTTCAGATCAACTGTACCATGCGATTCACACAATAGATGGTTTAAAAAGGCCCCCCCATCTTTTCACAAGACAAACTGTCAACATCAGAGATTAATTGCCTTTTACATTAGTCTGTCAGCAGCAAGTGCAGGTGTGTAAACAATCCACAATAACATGAGCTACAGCTGCTTCACTTTGGATTTAGTCCAGGTGGAGACTGAGACCAAGATGGATTTACGTTAGTAAAATTAGTTTCACTATACTACACTGATTTGGGAACCTAAACTGTTGAAGAAATGTTAGTAAAAGTCTGACTATATAGAACATTTTTATAGCATCTGAAGGTAACGTAGTTACTTGACTGTGCTATAAAATGGCACTATGTACCTGGAGTATACGTAATACTGGCCCCCTTTAAAGCTTACAGAGAGTTCCTAATTTGAGTCTCCTTTAGTTCTTGTTTGCTTTGTTAATATGTAAATTTCTTAACCCAGCACAGTAAATAACCTAAATGACCCTCAGCATACAGACTACAAGGATTCTGATGACTAAGCTAATATAAAACAATGTAATGTAGAAATATTAAAGCACAGAATAACTGATTACAGTATCTCACCATGCCATCCTAATTAGTGCTTTCTAATCCTGATCCCTGAGGCACGCTGGCACCGGACTCCTGGAGGCTTATCTGGGCTGGAGTAAAACAGAACCTACAGCAGATGCCAGCAAGTCTCTGCAGGTAATGTTTTATACATCCAGATCCACTAAAAACACATTATCACTTCTTTAGAGTTGCCAATTAAAACAATGAAATCGGTGAGAATCTGCATAACTTGTACTGGAGAGGAGAATGATCTAAGTCAGATGGCAAAAGCCTGTGCATGTTTCCATTCAAAGTCTCCTGTTACTACACCTGTTCAACTTACAGTCATCTCTGCATGTGCATATACTGTACATATCAAGTTCCTCGTGCAGGAATGCTAGCTGACGGCATTTTCCGAACAATTCTGACCTTCAAGGCAAAAACCCTGAACTCCCTGGAGAAGAGCAACAGAGAAGAAAGGTCAGGCTGAAACATCTGCTCTAATCCATTTCTAGAGCAAACTACACTGTAACGCTACCTGTGCAGCTCATAATGTATCAGTAAAAAAGGCTCCCTATCAACTACACAAGATAACATTATGAACGTATTTATTTGCGACTGGGAAAGCCTTAATAGATGGCCATATTAGTCGTGTCCAACAAGTCAAGGCTATTTATTTCATAGTACATTTAATTCATGATTTAATGATGCACTTATTTAATTTTGTCCTGTTTTACCTTCCATAAAGTAGAAGAACAAAAACAAATAAATGAGAAACAGATGGAAATATTATTGGATTGATGGATGGAGGAACAAAGTGTGGAAATACAAAACTATTTTCCAGTACCAGTCACAGAAAGCAGGAAAGTAGCAATTTACTCAAAAATAAAAGTTATTAGAAGAGTAAAAATGTTGGGACTGAAACCATGAAGAAAAACAACTTTGAAAGGAAACCAAGTTTCAGTTTCAGTTTTTCAATTTCTGCTACATATATATATTTTAAAAAAAACCTAAATATATCCAGTTTTCTTGAGAGGAACAAATCTGTGTTTGTAATTTTTATTTTTTTTTTGTGGTCATTTCTTGGCCACTATTGTAAAAGCACTGAGCATGTCTGACAGAAAAGGAGCAGCAAAGAGACCCGCTTAAGCTTAAACTGACCACCGGATGAAGTGGACCAGTGAGCTGCCCAACACAACATTAACTCAGCTCTTAAATATAGAGACTCCTTTGTACCTCACGGATCTGTCACTAGATATAATGCACACAGAGTTATATTATCTTTGGCACATTTCAGTGAATAACCCTCTTACCTGACACGATTGCTGCAAAACTTTGTGAACTGCGGCTGATTGAGGTATATAAGCCGGGCATCTTCTTGGTCAGCCAGTGACGTCTTCTCTGATGCGTCCTCTGTCTTTTCATATCCTGCGTCAGGCAAGAAAGGAGGTTTTAGTCTAAAGAACAAATAAAACATCAAAAGAACCAAAAAAGGTAAGATGAAAAGCCGTTTTGAAGTCTTTGAGTTGTCCAGTGTGAATAACGCCAAAGGAGACCTTGGAAGGAGTGGAGGAGCCACAGTCAGGAGAAGTCTATGGAGACTTTAGATGATTTGCTGCTTCAGATGGCAACATGCATTATAAATGAAGGGGATGCACATGTATAAATAAAGTAATACAAACTATCTAAAAATATAAACAAGAACATTGTCCATCTATTTTGTGCAGCTAAATAAGATAAGCAGTGAAAGACTGTGAATGCCAGAGTGTTTAAGTCATGGTCACCCAAAGGCCATGACTTAATGATCATTCTGTCTCAATGATGATTCCTTTCTTCTACAGGAAGTCTGAGCACAGACCACCCACTCATTAAATCAGTAGATTAAAGACAAGAATACGAAAGTAAATGTTTGTGGTCTGATTATTTAAAACATGTTAATAAAGCCTACATTTCAATGACTATTTTACAGTCAGGGGGCTGTTGTGCTGCTTGATAGATGTGATTATCACTCGGAATTTCCTGTCCAGTGTGCTGCAAAGACTGCATAGCTCTTATGTGAGAAGATTAGCTGATGCAGTCTGATGATTTGAAACTGCAACACCAATGTGCCTCTATCAATGTGCAGTTGAATTATTTCACTGAAAATCTGTTTTATGGCTAAAGTTTCAGAAAACACTCTGTTTTAATCCTGAAAAATGTTGATTTTATTGTTCTTCACCCACCACCACTTTCTTTCTTCAAATAACGCAGTTTTAAAACATGGAAGCAACTATTCTGTCCTTTAAAAGCCTCTTGTTGATTGGATAAAATTCTCCTTCCATCTCTGAAATCACAAGGCGCTGGTCTGCTCCCAGCCTCCCACCGAGGTCAACAAAGTGGGCTGCAAGGACAACACTACTGAGGCGCAACGGGGGCTGCATGTGGCTTGCAGAGACGCTCCTGCAGGTACTGTGAAGCAATTTTTTTATTGGCAAGGAGCCAATCCAAAACTGGCAAGGGTTTCACTTTGTAAGGAAGGCTAACGCAAGATGAGTAGGCTCTGTTCTGCAGGCTGCAGGTGCATCAGGAAAAAGCCTACTTGGTGCAGAACAGGATGGTCTAAGAAATTTATAAAAAGCAAGCCAAGTTTGAACTAGCAAGGCCCTGTACTTATTTTTAAAGATACAGCAAAACAAATTGTTGCTATGTTGCAACCAAAAACTTTTGCAGTAGTTCTGAAGGAACTCAATGTGATAGACAAAGCAAAGCATAATTATGAAAGTGAAAGAAAATGTCCATGTTATTAAATGTTTCAAAGATTTAAAAAAACAAAAGTAATGGATATATTTTCTTTTCAACCCCGCGTTATTCCAACAGTCCTAAATTAAAATCCAATGCCTCTGATAACCTACTAAGGTTTTGCTCAGTGTAAATGCAGCTGTGTTAGAAAACACTGGTGACGAAATAGCATTGTGAAGCTTGGAATACAGCAAAGAGGTTCAGGGATAAGTAGGGGGGAGGAGGGGAAACATGCAAACATCCCGGGACATGGCTGTCCACCTAAACTGACAGGCTGTGGAGGGAGAGCATTTATCAACAAAGCAGCCAAGGGGCCTACAGTAACTCTGGAGGAGCTGCAGAAAAGCACAACTTTGAAAATCATAAGGAAACCTAAACCCTGTCCTGAAGGAAAGAATGGCAAGAAGAAATCATTGTTAATAGACAATGACAAGAAGTTGTGTTTGGAGTTTGCCACAAAACCATGTGGGGCACAGTGACATGTGGAAGACGCCGTTGTGGTAAGATGAGATAGAAACTGAACTTTCCATCACCTTTTACATACCTTCCCCAAGATGAAACAGCAGAGGGGGCAGCATAATGCTATGGGGAACACTTTCCAGCAGGCAGAGGAAATATGGAGAGAGTTAATGGGAAGACGCAATGGTCCAAATACTGAGAAATCCTGGAGGATTTCTCAGTATTTAGTGAATGCAAAAGACTAGGAACTGGGCTGAAGGTCCATCTTCAAATCACCGTCATGTGTCAGAAAGACCCAGTCAAAGTTCAGGAACAAATCCATGACAACACTCCCAGTCAACGTCTATCCAGTCTGACTGAGCTTAAATTATTTTGTAAAGATGAAAAGTTTTAAGTTTGTAGATGTCTAAAGCTGGCAGAGGCATACCCCAAATATGGTCAGTTGTAACGGCAATGAACGATGATTCTACACAGTATTCACTCAGGAGGACTGAATAAATATTCAGTCCTCAAATTTTTTTCCATATTAATTGTGTTTGTCTGTATACCAATAAAAATTTATTAAGGTGTGAGGTAATAACATAAACATCCAAGTCCTTCAGTAATCTAGGTCTCCAAAGTTGCCATTCTTTTCTCTTTCCACATGTCTGATTTATGAATAAAAGTCAGCTAATTACCAGATGATAAAATGCTTGGATCAATGTGTAACATTTAAACTTGTTTTTTTATGCTTCTTTATAGTCACAGGAGTTAAGTTGTAACTGAACTCCAACGTATAAGCATTGGAACTGACAGAAAGGCAGCTTAGATCACACCAAAAACTGAAAAAGATACATTCTGAGAAAAAATGGTATCATCTTTTTCCTTATTTTCATTTAAATGTTTGGAGTAGATACCAAGAGCAGACCCAGGAAAGCATCACCCAAACTTTCAGGTACAGAGAGTATTCCCCGACTATAAAGTTATCAGGTTGGTCCTGATCACATGCTAACTTGTTGTGTTAGAAGATATGGGTTGACGTTAAAGAATAACTTTTACGACGACCAAAATAGGACGCAGGAAAGAAAGTCATGTGAGTGCGGAAAAATGGCTTCAACAACAACAAACTGCAGAGTGGTGAGATGCTGTAACCAGAGACACTAAATGATATGCCCCAGTTGTAACCCTAGCTTGCTCTGCAGTATTCCCTCCATGTCACGTCAAGGAAACAAGGTGGAAGACTGACACCGCCTTTAAAGTCAAGCTTTCCACTTTCACTGTTCTGTGCTTTCCTTCGCTTTCTCACCTTACCCTTTATTACTTTCCAACTCATGCTACGTAAACCCCAAATCTCAAATTCCAGTCCTTGTTATTTTAACAGTCTACTTAGCGTATACCAAGAAGTACCCAACAGATCTTATCTGGAAAGTTTCTCTTCTCAGCATGTGTTCGATGGCTAAAAATAAACAGCCCGTTGTAGTCATTTGGTCACCAGGGAAAACATTGGGTGGTTATCCCGACCTCGTTATGCAAGATGTCAGATCAGGAAAGGTGGTTTATTGGATTAGTTTGGGAGGGGGGGGGGATGGTGTCAGTAAAGCAACAGCAGAGTCAAGTGTTGTGTCTTTGTCTTTTGCTCATTTAGGGACACGCATTGTACAAAGAGAACAGATTTCAAAAACAAATCTGTTTTAATCTGAGGTAGAAAGTCTTTAATCTATAATGCGAGAATTAACCTAAAAACAATATTGTTTGTAACACTTGAGGACAGGAAAAGACAGCAACTATCGCTGCAGCATGAGGCCATTGTGAAGAAGCAGGCCATGTGGCTGAGGATGTGATTGATGCTGCACCTCTGTGTTCTGAATGAGCCTTCGCAGCGGGAGTAGGCCACTGGGGTAGGCCAGGTGCTGCAATGCACCAGTTGCTGGTTGTGCTCTTATTTAACTTAGCCTGCCCCCCTTTTAGCAGCTATGGAACAAGATGAGAACTCAATTTGAGTAAATCTGTTGTTAAGTATGTGAATATTTCATTCTATGAAACAACACTGACTTGTATTTGTATGTTGCCGTCAACTACTTTGACCTTAATGTTTTCATGTGCTAGATGGCACATATATAATAAACTGTACAGGAATCAGACAGGAGGCATGAATTGCTTTACAATTTTAAAGGAAGTTATGCCTTACTTTTTCAGCCAACTGAAATGTAAAAAATAAATAAATACAATTTTCTGGTGATTTGAAATATTTGTTCTCAAAAACATTTGAAATGAAAGCAAAGAAAGCCCAGAAATGCACACTGCTATTAAAAAATATATATATTTTCTGCCACATGTCTGCTGCTAATTCGGGCTAAGACACAGAGACATGGAGAAGCTAACAGGAAGGCTAAACTGAGCAAAACAACGTTGCTTTCTTATTCTTTTGAGCTGCCTATAATAAAACAAGTAGGATTTAGAAATAGACAGTTCTGGAAATCTTACTAGAAGAGGTTTGATACTATAAGGATCAAACTTCTGCAGGGAATACACACATAGGGATGGAAGATTCAGTAATGCTAGGCATGCTAACGCCACTAATCATTTGTAAGATAGTTTAAACTGAAATAATTTTCTCCTGAGTGTATCTCTTCCCTTGCATGCAGCACTGTGTTGTCTATGTTCCTAATATAAATAATTAATGACTGATGATAACTGCAGGAAGGCAATAAAATATTTTATTGCTCTTCTCATTTCTTCTTAAAACAGAGTTACTAAGAAGAAATTTGTATCAGCAGGTCCAAGCTTTACAAAAAATAAATAAAGATGAGAAACTGGTCGCAAAATTCTGATCTTGCCAAAATGAACAAACACGATGATAGAAGCTGAGACATAATCCCACAGTTGAAAAAGAGAGTTACGATAGAAAGAAAGTGGACCAGCAAGAAAGTAGATAACAGTAAACCTGAGTTTTACTTTTGCTTGAGAAAACTAAGGGGAAAAAACAAATAATTTGATACCAAGGAGGCTTGGTATCAAATAAAGAAATTGCTTTTTTGTTATTATTCCTTCTTGTGTGTGCGTGTGTGTGTTCATCACTAACAACTGCATTATTGTTTTAGATCTCTACCTTGTTTCTGAACACTACTTGAGGTTTCCTGTGGCATCTTTACCAACTTAGTCTGGACAAGACTTTCTATTGTATGTCTTTTGACATACATCTCACGACAGGA